TTTGGGGGGGGCCCCCGCCCTAAAGGGAAAATCTCCCCAAAAAAAAAAAAAAAAAAAAATTTTAAAAAAAAAAAAAGGTACTTGCAGGATCCGCCTCCCCAGATGCTGAGTACACAGCCCTCCCAGCCTCTTACTGCCTCACTTCAGTTTCCTGTCTCTGGGCTTCTTTCCCCACTGTCCTCTGTCCCTTGACCTCCTCCGTCCCTGTCCCCTTACCTCCGGGCCCCAGCACCTCCAGTGCACAGTCCTAGCAGCACAGTCTGAGGGAGGATAAAGAGCCACTACCTGAGAGTGGGATTCCCCTCAGTCTTCTCAAGGACATTAACTCTCTACCTTCCAAGGCTGTCCTAAGTTGAAAAGACATGATGAATACAAAGCACCTGGCAAATCTTTGATGCTTAATAAATGCTAATTCCCTTCTTTATTGCTGCTCTTCCACTCTTACCCGGTTCTGAAGGAACTGGGGCCATAGGCTGTGGTCTGCTTCTGCAGAGGACAGAGGCATCACTTTACCTGCCTAGTTAGCTTTAATAGGAACAGACATCTTGCATTCCACAACCAGAGCTAAAAGACAAAATGCAAATGTGATAGGTAGAATCCAAACTATATAATATGGGTAAGTTTTACTTGGAAGGTGAAGAATGACTTCATAGTATTTTGGTTTTGTTTTGGAACAAACATAAGGAATTAAAAAGGCCTGGGCCTGAAAGTGGGGTATGAGGAAAGGGAAGAAATAGCATGGAAGGCCGACAGAACCAAAGACCAATCTTTTTACGTCTCAATTTTGCTGAGAGCCTGCTCTGTTGAAGTTCATCTGTTTACAAAAACAGATCAACCAGACCTAGGGCCAAAGTATGTTACAGCCTGAGAGACACACACACCTAGCAGGAATTGGGTTCATAACCTTCTGTCTCAACCTCGAATCACTGAAAAAAACAAAAACTTTCATAAATAACTAAATTGTGGGACAGTAGATAGTGTAATGGTTACGTTGGTGGACTCCCATATAGGTGACGGCAGTTCAAGTCCTGGACCTGGTGGCTTAAACTCACACCAGGCACTTGTGCAAGTGTGTCCATGATCCCAAGAGGAGATTGGAAGAGAAGGGACTGCATTGTGGTCATTTCCCCCCCCCAGGGGGTGATTTCTTGTTCTCTGTGTCTCTGTCTCTCCAGTGAGTGCATGCACCCTACAGCAAAAATCTCTGAAAAAAATAACTAAATTGTAATTGTTGACTGGCTTATTGCAAAACCGTTATCAGGCTGTAAATGATGGCACTGTATTATTTAAATTAAAAACTCGAATTAACTTAAAGAAAGACAGTAGAAGGTGTATCCGAGCACACCACCGTGTACCACGAAGCAAGCAGTTCATGACGAGTAGGATCAACACCCGTGACCGCATTTCAGCTTGAGCAGAGAACTTAGCATGTTTTCAGTTCTCTGTGGAGCACTTGCATTCATTACCTCATTTAACCTCTAAAAGACTTTATGAAGTAGAGACCAGCAATTGGCATAATGACTATGTCGCTGAACTCCCATGTAGTCAACCGCAGTTTGAATCCCAGACCTGGTGGCTTAAACTCACACCGGGCACGTGTGCGTTTGTGCCCAGAATCCCGAGAGGAGAATGGAGGAGGAGGGATCACAGTGTGGCCATCCCCCCCGGGGGGTGATTTCTCCCTTTCTGTCTAGAAAAGTATCTCTTTCTGGCGATCACATGCACCGTATAGGAAAAAAAAACTCAAAAAAACCCCAAACAAACCAGACTTTATGAAGTATATATTACTGACACTGCTGCCTGTGTACATCAGGAGACCGAGATTTAGCAGTGCTGAATAAATCTACTCAAAGCCATGCTGCTAGGAAGAGAGTCTGGCTCTGAACGACTGACCTTAACAAGATACCATCTCATCGACACAGTCTGTTTTTGGTTTTCATGAAATCTCCCCAAAGCTAAAATCAACAATTTCTTTCAAAGATATATTAAAGTTTCAGGAAGTATGAAATTAAAAAATCAGGATCACTGAAAAATAGTTAAATTTTGTTAGCTAATGTTGAAAACGTTTCTACTATTAACAGAGGAGATGTCAGCAGAGTTTTCAAATCTGTTACTTCTATTGCTAAGAGACAAGTTTCTATTGGGTCATCGGAAGTCATGATGCATTTTTGCATAGAAAAGTATATAATGACTTTTCCGACCCCCAATATTTAAAAACTGTAACAACTATGTGGATGTGAACTTCGGCTTAGGGGCAAAAGCAAATCATACTCATGTAAAGCAGTTCTTTGGTTTCGCTCCTAGGAAACTGAGTCCTCTAGAACTCACACAGAAGGATCCACAAACTTACTTTGACCTGAGGGTAGGACTTCTTGTTCTTTTCACTAGAGGCACCAGGAAGTCCACCATGTGAAGGGCCTTCACATACGTAACGGAATCGAAATCCTCTCTGCAAAAGCGAACACAGGGCCAATGAGTTTGAGCAAGACTTATTAAAATTATAGTGACAACATTACACACACAATGAATTCTTCTGTGTCTAATTTGAGAAGAAAAAACACACACACATGAGAACTGAAAAAGGACTCTAAATGAGACTTGCTTTCCCATAAGCTTACTACGAAGGTCGTATTAAGTGACACCTGAGCGCCGAGGTGTGACCACAAAGCCAGGCCTAAGCCTGCAGGACCTCTCATGCTGTGGACGCGTGGACCGACAACTGCTCAAGAGTCCGGGGATTCGACATGCTGTAACTCGTCTGCATCGAAGCTTCCTCATCTCAAATTGCTGCCGCCAAGCTCTGAACTTTGCCATGCTACTAAAAGCTACGCTTCTTTGACGCTTCCTTAAAGGAATTCCCTCATCTCCCCTGATTACCTGAGCTTTAGGAGGCTCTACGAGACATCGTTTGAATACACTGCCTCCGTGTTACAGAACACATGCTGCTAGACCACACATCTGATGAGCTTCTGTTAGTGGTTCAGAGGGTAAGATTTTTGATTTTATGAATACTGATATGATCAGGTTCAAGCTCAACTGACCTGAATGAATCCTAAACCAGATAGTCCCCTGGCTAGTATCTGACCTAGGAACTGTCCAGATGCAGTTAACGAATGAAGAGTGAGTGAGGAGCCTGTTCTACATGGACCACTGGGGGCTGACAAACCCCTAAGAAGCATGTTTTCCAACTGTACAAATGAGCAGCTTATAACAGACCACCTTTGAGGTCGACTACAGTTCTAACATTGTATGACTTGTAAAGCTAAGCTAATTGTAATCAAGCACAGTTGTATACAAACAATAAATCAAGGACACTTATGCAAATGGACCCCACCATCGCATTAAGGGAGCTTACGTTGCATTTACTGAAAGACTCAATGATGATGTCAAACAATTTGTGGCAGTGTCAGTAATGTATAACTGTGCGGTCACCAAATGGAGGGTTTTCTTTTTTCAAATCTGCCCTTCAGTGGAAAGAGGAGTATGTTGACATACTTCAAGGAGCTTTCTTGCCTTCCATGTATTTTACCTTGTAGGACCGACTTCATGTACACAGTGCTAGACAGCAGGGTCAAAAGAAGCTCCCACACTCACTGCACACTGATACAAATGTGGAAACTCGGCCAACATGAAGGTTTTCTCAGCTTGGAGCTCATGCACCAATGTAAAACCTTCCCCCTCCTTAGACTGGCTACGTTTATTACACCTAGGGGGTGTCTGTAGCCTCTGAGTGGCCCAGGTTCCTAGAACTCATTTAATTCTCTGGGAAGCATCTGGTGCGGTCCTTCTGAAAACTTCCTGGTTTCCAGAGCAGACTGGTCCTACGTTTTACTAGATGCGTAGGCCTGAAGTCAAGTCCCTGGCCAGGGAGCATCCCTGCAGGCACATGTGGGTGCTTTGCAGAGCAGGGTCAGCTCATCGGCCTGGCACCTAAAACAGCTCCTGCCTCCTGCTGGAGCTTCCAAACCCCAACACCAAGGAAGCCTCCCGTAGTCAGGCTTTAGGGACAATTCCTCTCTTTAGCGTCTCACGACATTCAAATGAAAGAATACATTGCAAATTCTGCACTCTATCTTTCGTAAGGAAAGGCTGTTGGTTTATTTTGAATAAATGAATGAAATGTATAAAAACATGACCATGCAACAGCATGTCTACCAATTAGTTTCTAAAACTGGCTAACCAGAGAGATAGAGATTCCCTTGACTGCTAGTCTAATTGAAACACAATTTCACTTCTTAAAACAGCATTAGACTACCAGAACTGAATAATATGCAACTGGACTGAATATTCCAAAGAGTAAGAGTCTGTGTCAGAACTGGTGAACATCGGTGGTAAAGAGGCTTTGAAGAAAAGGAACATTTTTTAACTTTAAAATGACAATTTAAAGAAAGTCATTATATTTAATCAGAAAATTCCTCTGGGACATTTGAAAAAAAAATATACACAAATACTTGTGCATGTTATTGGGAGTAGAGTCAAACAGACTATTAGCAAATAGATGTGACTTAATAGCTTGCTTGTCATTGAAAAACTCTTAGTAGATATTATTTATGGTTACATAAGAGTACCTAAGTCCAAAGGAATTTTTAACCTGAATGGAAACATAGACCTCTCTTTTTGCCGGAAGATAAGGTGTTTCCAAATGCATAGTGTGGATGCATTTCTGATTCTGCATTTCGGAGATTAAAGGTCTGCCAGTCCACAGCCATTCATCTCAGTAACTCCATTTGCTTAAAATGAGTCACCCACGTCAAGGGCGACCCATGCGAGTCAGGAAGTCTGACTGAAATACAATCTTTCTACTTTCCCTGAAGTCAAACAGCAAAAGAGCATCGGTTTGGTAAACAAACAGGTGGCTTCACTCTCGTGAGCATTTGGGGTCCAAATATAATGAACTAAATTTTGAAATCTGGAACTGTGTTAATTAATGTCAAGTTTTCCTTATGCGGGGCCCCCGATAGAAACCTGCATCTTAAAACTCTTGTCCTGGTGCTGTGCTTATGGACATGGGCATTTGAAAAAAGACTTTGGTCATACAGACACAATTTAGTTTGATTTCTCGTGTTCATAAATCAAAGATCTAGTTTGTCTAAGATCTCTGACAAACAAGAACATCGTCCAAGACGGCAGATCTCTGTGCGGCATTTCAGGGAATAAGAGTTCCCCGGGAGGGTCTCTCAGAGAGAAAGCATGGTGCAGAATTGGACCCAGAGATCAAGGGGAAGGCAAGCACTATGGCCGCCTGTGGGGTCAGGACGTCACCTTGCAGGAAAGCAGAACAATGCCCCAAGGTCTCATGTGGCTTTCCTGTCCCCAGGAAAACCGTCACCTACTTTCAACCTTAGAGGGATAGACCGGTCATCATGAAGATTTTATACCCTTTAAATGCACACTGGATCCAACACATGTGCTGATATAATGCCATGATTTTGAAGCCACAGGACAGGAGTGCTTTGTTATGTATGTAGGGACAAATTTAAGATTTGCCAGAGGGTGCGTGTGCTTGCCAGAGAGAAACAGAGGAAAGCGAGAAAGCACCCCGTGGTGGATGGTCATGTCCCAATCCCTTCTCCTTTCTCACCTCCTTTCAGGACCCTGGGCACACATGCACAGGTTGGGGGCTTGAACCGCACAGTCAGCCATGTGGGATCCACCTCAACTACCGCCCCACTAGCCAGCTCAAGTGCGTGCTTTTTTTATGTTCTTGACCTAGTGAACATTTGTTAAATGTTCTGCAAGGCAAAAGTGTTGCACTCACTCCCCTGAGCTAATAAAAAGAGCACTTAAGAAGGGTATTAGGTAATAAAACTGCAACAGGGCAGGTATGTGTCCTCGCCTCACACCAACGCGACAGGCCTCTCTTCGGAGACTCACAGCAGTCTCCACTCTATGTGGGCTGCACTATGACTTCCATCGTAATAACTGAAATGCCCTACAGGCAGATCCTGAAGAGGCCCTTCCCTCCTCCCATCCCATTTCCAAATAAATGTTTATTCACAGAGTTGGGGCAGGCGAGGGGCATTTCAATATTCCACGCTATTCTCTCCAGCATCTAGTGTAAGAGGAAGAGCCTGAGAAGATAAAACGCTCCTTTCCTGACTCTAGGAGTGAGTCCACAGCCAAGACACAAGGGAAGAGAACTGAACGTCCCTTCTAATGTGAGGGGTGTTCAAACGCTCTCGGGAACGGTGTATGATGAAAAGGCTGCAAAATGTCAAAAAATGCTGGCACCAACACCCACACTTTGAACTCCACCTTTCCACAGACTTTTTGAAGTCCCCTTATCCTTTAGCTCCAGGGGTACTTTTAGTACCTTGGGCTGGATACCTCAAAGACAGAAGCTGCTGGGTCAGCAGGTGGCACAGAGGTTAAGGTGGCTGCATCCCACACAGCTGATGCCACGGTTCAAGTTCTGGACCCAGTACTTGAAAATCACACAGGCTGTGTGTGTGCGCACCCAAAATCCCAAGAGGAGAAAGGAGGAGAAGGGATTATGAGGCGACCATCTTCTCTGGGGGTCATTTCTCACTTTCCCTCCCTCTCTGTCTGTCTCTATTGAGTGCATGCACCCTATAACCACCACCACCCCCTCCCCCCAAAAAAGAAAAAACAGGCTGAAGCAGTAAAAGGAGGAGGACCTAAGCAGAACCCAGTGGCTGTGAGTGTGTAAATGAGCCTGAATGGAAGTAACTGCCTTTCCTGGGAGTGGCGGGCACGCTGAAGTGGAGATAACAGGACAGCAAGGATTTATAATTAACTGGCGTGTTACTGAACTATGTACAGAGGCCTGAAACAGTTTGAAGAATGACTAAGAAATGCAAAGTGGCCAGATGAAGTTGTTACGTAATTCGGCAGGTTGTTGATCAGCCAGATAAGCTACTTCCTTCATTAACTTCATTTACTATTATTTAATGCTTGAGATCTTAACAACAGATGCAAGGATCTAACATTTAAAGAAAAAGTCCCACCTCTTTCATCTTACCTGTTTAGGTTGCTCTAATATTTGAAGGTATGGGCCATCTGCTAAAAAACAAAACAAAACAGAAACCAAAAGAAACTGTGAGGCTTCTCGAATTTGGTATGAAGTTGAAAGCAAGTCAAAAACTGCCATTACGTTTTAAAATAGAGATTTCAAATCCATTTTTAAGCTACCCTTCCACAAGGATATAATTACTTTTCCTTGTTTGAAATATTAAAGTTGCCCTTACTTTAACAACAGTTTTACAGAACCACGGTGCGTGAGTGTCCAGTGGCGAGGGCACACTGCCCAGGAAACCACGGGCGGGGTGGCTGGCGAGGACTCAAAATCTGTCTCTTAACAAAACACATTAAAAACTACACAAACACTAGCCAAAAGCATAGACACTGTGGCATTTTCTTCTGCCCTCTCATCATTTGACAGTAACTTCCATTCCTAAAAGACAACGTGCTTAAAGAGAAATGAAAAGAGACTGGATTAGCCAACTGCAGGTGTGAAATACACAGCCTGCATCTCACACGGCCTGCTCTTCCTTTTTTCTTTTCTTTTCTTTTGTAGAGGTTTTCGCTATAGGGTGTGTGCGCTCGCCAGACAGACAAAGATCTTGGGCACACATGCACACGCGCCGGGTGTGAGTTTAAGCCTCCGGGTCTGGGACTCAAACAGCGGTAGACTATGTGGGAGTCCAGTGACATAGCCATTACGCTAACTGCTGGTTCCCGATGGCCTGTTCTTCCTCACACTGAACTTTCTGTTCCTTTCCCTTACGTGGGTCCCTAAGTACTGCCGTCATTCCCTGACTGGTTATTCTGCCCACCTCTTCCCACCAAATGTAATTTGATTTGCCAGACATGGTGAACTCTCCTTATGAACTCATAATTTTTCATGTTTACATATTATTTTTGAATAGTGTACTCTCATATAAACTCTGTCCTAACACAGAAAAAGCATTTTATAAAATCATAAAGTAATGAAAGAATATTAACTAATTAATGCATACCAATTAATTATTGTAAAAATACACAACTAGACGCTTAATCCAGATGCCAGTCTTCAGAGGAAAATCCAAAGCTCTGACAGCATAAATACTAATTTTTCAATATGAAAAAGTCCCCAAGCTTTCCAGCTCGTTTTTATGTCCACAGTACAGTAATAACCCACAGCTCTGCAATAAATAAAGATGTGTGGGGTTTCTGACTTGTCTGAATGTAAATTTAAATGTTTGATACTAAAAGCATTCCAGGAGAATGCTCTGTGTCCACGTTCATCATCACCCATCTCACTTTAGATGCTCACGGTCTATTGTTTTAGATAAATACGTTCATGAGAAGAGATAAACCTTCAGTCTGGAGTTTGAAGTGAACTGTAACTGAAAAGAAAATTTATTTTTATTTTCTCAGTATTATACATAGTCAGGATAAGGCTTAAGAACTCTAGGAGGAGGTCAACAAGTGGCATAGTGGTTAAGGCACTGGACTCCCACTTGGCAGACTGCAGTTTGAGTCCCAGATCTAGTGGCTTGAAAACCATGCCAGGCACATGTGTGTGCCCAAAATCCCAGAAGGAGGATAGAAAAGGGACTGCAGTGTGGCCAACCCCCTGGGGTGGGGGTGATTTCTCACTTTCCCTCTCTCTGTCTCTCCAGTGAGTACATATGCCCTATGGAAGAAACCTTAAAAAAATTCTGGGGCCAGCAGGTGGTGTGGTGGTTAAGGGTACTGGACTCCACATGGCTGACCATGGTAGAGTCCCAGACCTGGTGGCTTCTTTTCTCACATTCTCTCTCTCTCTCAGTTTCTCTATCCCTCTCTGGTCTAATTAAACTAAGTAAGTAAATAAATAAAGTTAAATAAAATAATTCTTTTAAAAAATTCTGGGAAACAAAGGTATAATTAATTATTTCCTGCTATTCAAGAAATTCACAAGTATGTTGGTTGGGAAATGACTGTGCTTGAAGTGACACACATGGAGAAAGGAAAACCTGGGAAGTGACGAGCAATGTCTTAATGTATGTGGGGGGGGTCTTCAAAAAGTTCATGGAAAACCCTGTTAGGAAACAATTATACCTACATTTCAAATTTTTCCCACACACTTTTTGGAATATGTTCATAAATGATCTTATTTTCTGTATGAAACTCATCCCTGAACATTTTAAAATCACTTTTAAAAAAATTATTAAACTTAAAAAAAAAATATTTTTTAAAAAATGGCTAGAATTTTTTAAAAGTCAAACTCATTAGAAATAAAAATATCTTCACACTGTTAATAAACAGCCTATAAGACCGGGTAACAAATATTGAAACATTCCCTCTAGAATGCTAAAGAAGGTAGCCCATTGAGAAAGCAGCACTGGGACCAGATGTCATGGACAACGGGGAGTGTGAACACGTCGACATTCAACTTGAAGGCCCTTGCTTTCGTTAACTCTTCTGAAACTAAGTGCAGTTCTGCTGTTATGGTTCCTGTAGGATCTAATTTTCTTAAGCCGGTGAAATTCCATGTGAAATGGGGCCGCTTTTCTCTTTTAGAAAATTCATTCAAAAGTTAAATCGACTAGAAAATTAGATGGGATCCTGCTGGCGTCTGCAGTGGGCTGCCTTTTGGCCGTGGCGTCTGCGGTGGGCTGCCTTTTGGCCGCGGCATCTGCGGTGGGCTGCCTTTTGGCCCTGTGCTGCACCGTGAGCCTTGCGGCCCCGGTGTAGGCTCATCCCCATCACAGCATCACATTACAGAGCAGTCAGCCAGGCCAGCCCGGAGTTTTCAAGGAGGCACCGATCTACGAATGGTTTTCGATTCCAAAAAATTTAGAAGAGAAAACAATATCTATGAAAATGACAACACCGGTTTAGATGTATAAGTGAACATTATTTAGATAACTTCTCTACCACTTGAAAATTTGAATAAAACATTCCCTACATCCTGGACTATAAAACTCAGACTATGGGGCCAGGGGCCAGGACGGTGCATGACAGCAAAGGCACTAGACTCCCACATGGCCCACCACGGCAAAGGTCTCAGACCTGGTGGCTTGCAAATCATGCCAGGAGTGTGTGTATGCATGCCCAAGATCCCAGGAGGGGAAGAGAAGGGACTGTGGGTGTGGGTGATTTCTCACTTTCCCTCCCTCTGTCTCTCTGTCTCTGGCAAACACAGGTGCCCTATGGCAAAAACCTAAAAAAAAAAAAAGGGTCTCTGCTACTACCACTACTTTCCCAGAGAGGGAAAGACATACGGATACAAATGATGGGCAGTAACAACTGGAAAATAAGGTTTTAGGTATATTTTTATAAGTTTTCTAATATGATGGCAAAATGATTTCTACAACAGGAAGCTCTGGCGATGGAGTGTTTATTGAGATGGTCCCTCTCATCACCTTATTTTTATGCCCGTAACCTGAAGGGGAAAAATGAAAACCACGTGCGGAGACGTTTGCCTGGGGATACTATTTGTATTTTTGCGGCATTCAGTGGACACGTATGTATTTTCTGGGGGCAAACCAAGCACGTATATTCTCAGCAAAACCCTAACGTGGCCCAGTGGTAGCACGAGCCCACAGGCAGGGCCGTGTGCAGCTGGAGCCACATGGGAACCGGGTTCAGACCTCGACAACCTGAGCAGACCGGGCATGAGGACGCACCTGGGAGCGTTGCTCACCAAGAGGCCGGGGCAGAGGACCGCGCTGGTGGACCCTGCCAAGAATGCCTATCCTCCACCACTGCCTTCGAAAAATGAATACTAAGAAAATGCTTTGAGCTCAGGGTCAAACAGTTCACAGGAAACATGGGTGCCACCAAGACATTTACGTGTTCACAGGAAGCTGACCTCATGTCCAAACTGGACAGCACTTCACGAGATGTCAGATAGGGCAGCCCCCAAAATGCGTCTTATGGCATAAAGAAAGAAAGGCCTTTCTCCAACAACTTTTTTTTATTTTTTTTTTAAAGTGTCTATTTGTTTGTTCCATGAGGGAGAGGGATTGAGAGACAGGGAGGCAGTACTCTCAATAGGGTCTCAGCACAGCGATCCACCCCAAGCCCTGACCAACCTGGAACCGAGGCAGGAGCACTCAGCACTGTGGGGTGGCCCTGTGCTGAGGCCCAGCCCTCTCCAACACCCCAGCGAGGGAAGTGCAGGTGCACAGGCTGGCCCAGTGCAACGGCTCAGGGGAGAGTGCTGCCGTGTGGTGCTGGAGGCCAGGCGGGAGCTCTGGGGTCTCTCCCTGTCTGCCTGGACATGCCACGGTAGCCCGTGGGCACAGCCATGATCCTGGTTGGCTGTGGGGCTTGGGGGAATCATGTCAGGAAGACCCTGTCCAGGGTGTCTGCATCCCTCTCTCCCTCTCTTTTTCAGGAAAGAAAGAAACTTAAAATAATAATAATAATAAAAAAAACAACAGATTTCTTTTCTCCCCCTCCCAGGACCTCCTGGAAATACTGAAGACAGACAGAAAATAATTTGACCTAAACTCTGAAAAGTGCATGCCAGCATAAGCATAATAATTTTAAACACGGCGGCACTGTGCTGGAACCAAGGTGACTCCATCTTGAAGCTCATTCACCATCCTGACTGATATTGGATCCTAGGCTCCTTGGCAACCTTCCCAAGGTTCAGATGTAGTCTGAACTATTGTAGGGGACACACCTACATCCTCATCCTCTGACAGGAATGGCACACCCCGGTGAAAGTCCAGATGTGGGAGGGACATCCCAAACCTCTCGACACTCTCGAATGCCCTTCCTGCACGGACTCCCCACTGACGGCCCCGTACGAGCTACGTGAGCTTATGCCTTTGCAGGGAAGGGTGCAGAGGTGACCTCATCTTGTGGCCACACGAGCCTGCACTTCTCGCAAGCTCTTGACGGACAAGCTGGACTTGTCTGCCTCATTCTTTCTTCTCTAGGCTCCTTTGGTCTTTAGAGAACATTTCACTTACAGAGCCCCACCCCGGAGACATACAAAGGGAACAAAGTCTCCCATTGAAAACAAACAAATCCATGGTAAACATTGGCTCCGGTGGAAAACTCATGCACATTTTTGCATAGAAAAACATAGAAAAATACATCATGGCTTTTCCAACGACCCAGTGAAATAGCTGGTGTCCACTTCAATGATTACCAAACTCTGTCACATACAAATGGGCCCCTGAGGGGCCAGCAGGTGGCATGGTGGTTGAAGGCACTAGACTCCCATATGGCTGGCTGTGGTTCAAGTCCTGGACCTGGTGGCTTGCTTTCTCACTTTCTCTCTCTCTCTCGTTCTCTGTCTCTTATCAAACTGGAAAATAATAATAAATAAAGTTAAATAAAATAATTCTTTAAAAAAAACAAAAACAAAACAAAAAAACCAAATGGGCCCTGAATAAATCACTATGGAGATTAGGAGGGCCGACCTGCCCTGCGCAGCTGAATATCCACACCATAAGCTTTGACTCCCCTAGAACCTGGCCAACCTAAGTGGCATGGTCTAGTGTACTGGAGAGTAGAGGTAATAGCCACTAGGCCGACCACAGGTTCAGATCCCCTGGTTGGTCTGAAAACACACTAGAAAACACACAGTGAAGATCCCGACGAGCTGGAGTGCTGAGGAAAGGGGATCACAGTGTGATGAGACCTGTCGGGATGCCTCTCTTTCTCTGTCTCACACATGGACATCCTATCATGCCAAAAAATTAAAATTAAAAAACCAAAAAAACTAGTAAGAGGCTACTATTGACCAGAAGCATTGCTGCTAACATAAGCAACTGATTAACACACAGTTTGGATGTTATATGTATTGTCATATGCTGTATTATTATAATAAAGCAAAATAAAGGGAAAAATATTAAGAAAAGCATAGAAAAACTACATTTACAGTATTGTACTTTCCAATATATTTACTGAAAACTACCTGCGTTTAAGTTACACCCATGCAGCTGAAACCAGTGCTGTGCAGGGGCCAACCGTCCAACTGCTAATTCACTCACACAGACTGGGCACATGGTTAGTCCCTTGGGCGATGGGACAGGAGAGATACAGGACATAAAAAAGAGCCACCACACCAAGTTTACATACAAATCAATCAAGAAAGAAAGAGACTAGATGAGTAGATTCTTTTTAAAGAATTATTTAATTTAGGGACCAGCAGTTAGCGTAATGGCTATGTTGCTGGACTCCCACGTAGTCGACCGCGGTTCATGTTCCGGACCAGGTGGCTTAAAACTCACGCCGGGTGTGTATGTGTGTGTGCCCAAGATCTCAAGAAGAGAATGGAGGAGAAGGGATTGCGGTGTGGCCATCCCCCCCAAGGGGGGTGATTTCTCACTTTCTGTCTCTGTCTGTCTGGTGAGCGCACGCGCCTATAATAAAAAACCTCTCCAAAAAGAAAAAAAAGAATAATTTAATTTATTACATTATTATTTAAATTTGACCAGAGAAAGAGAGAGAGAGACAGTGAGAAAGTCAGCGGCCAGGTCTGGGACTTGAATCTCAGTTGGCCATGTGTGAGTCCAGTGCCTTACCCACCATGTCACCTGCTGGCCCCATGCGTAGATTTTTGATTACTTGCATGAGATTAAATGATTTGTGCATGGAGATGATGAATACAGTCATGTCAGAAGAAAGGATTACTGTGAAATCTATGCAACTGGTCCAAGTAAAAAGCTAAATGCTTTTTAAAAGGTGCTTTTCTTACTGCGATGATTTTTACAGTATCTGTACTCATCTCCCCAGGGCCTGGTGCACTGCTGGCCCACACAGGCATGCAGATACACGTCGTGAAGCAGAACTGAGGAGTTAAAAACACCTTATATGAGTCTGGGACAAGGGAGATAGACATTAAAAAGAGTCCAGAAATAGTTAAGATTGGGTAAAAAGGAAAATCCTTTTATTGAGTAAAGAAATTCCTTCAGAGCAGCCCCAGCAGACGTTAGCAACCAGCCAGACGTGCAGGGGGTCACTGAAGCAAAACGTCATGTCACACAAGCATATTTCAGAAAGTATGTTGAAAAGCTGGTTTTTAAAACATAAATTACCATTTCTTATCTAAGTACAACCCTGGATTTCTAGAAGAGACTGTTAATACAATTATGGATTTTAAAAAATGTGAAAGCAAAACAACCAGCAAGGATGAGTTCCCTTACCCGTCGCCAGCGGCATCTCTGGTTGAAATAATTCTGGATTAAATATTGTGGGATGCAAAGGGTTCAAAGGATCCAAGGGAAACATCTAAGGAAGAAAAGAGAAATCTTATAAACATTATTTTTTAAAAATTATATTAAAAATGTGAAGTTGAAATATGTAAAACTTTATAAGAATGCAAACTAAACCCAAAAATGAAAACCTGAAAAATTTTGAAATCAAGATTTTGTTTTCTTGCTAGAGAGAGAGGGAAAGGGGAAAAGCACCTCTCCAATGCGGTGTGGTCATGTCTCGATCACTTCTCCATTTCTCCAACCCTGTGGGGATTTGGGGCATGCACACACATGTACTCAGTGTGTTTTTCAAGTGCGGGATCCAGGACTCAAACCACACAGTTGGCCATGTGGGATCTGGCTGCCTTAACCACCAGGCCACTGAGCTACCCATAAATTAGGATTTTAAAGACTTTCATGAGACTTAGTTAAGTTCTCACATGTATGGAACTTATGATAGGATTTGACTATATTTAAATAACAAAAGGACCGGAGAGAATAACCCAGCCATAAATCCCGAGGCAAGGACCTGGTGTAGCTTGCTCACTGTCTTCAGGGCCCACTAAGGGAATGCTTATCGCAGAGTGGAGACTTAATCAATGTTTACTGAATGAGTAATTGCAAGTTGGTCGTCTTTGAAGTATAAACATAAGAATATAATCCTAGAAATTTCTCTCTCTCTTATGGTAAATATATCTCTAATGTAGTCACGTAATTCCAAGGCCTGAAAGAATTACTGAGAGCAGCTCTAGAGGAATTTATAGAATGATGAAAAAACACAACTTACACTCTAAGGAGCAGACGACTGAGCGCTGAGTGCACTCGGGTTTTTTGCCTGTATTTTCCTAGCACAATGTAAACTCCTAAAACCTGGCGGGTGTGCTAGGCTGCATCACGCCCCTCCAGAGATGCCCTCAACCTGTAAATGCTACTTCATAAAGCAAAGGAGACTTCGCATACGTCATTAAGTCAGGATATTAAGATGAGGGAACTATCATGTGGGCCTGGTAAGGGTTCAGGAAGTCAGTGAGTGCAGGAGGTATGATGCTAGAAGCAAGAAGCTGGTGTGATGCGGGAGTCACAGCCCAGGCAGGTGGCTCTGTCAGCCGGAGAGTCCTCAAGAGGGATGCGGCCCTGCCGACACCTTGAATTTAGACTCCCGACCCCAGACTGCAGGAAGACAAATGTGAGTTGTTTCATGCCACAAGTGTGTTGTAATTAGGTACAGTACTAACAGAGCACAAATATGGGGGCAGGCCATGGATGCTGATGCAAATTAGCTTGTTAAATCACTATCAGTTACTTTTCCCAAAAGAACATTTTTTCCTACTTAGTTCATTTAGAAATTTATATTTCTGAATTTCCTATTTATTTTAGCCTGAAAAAAAATCATGTATGAAATGTCTATGAACAGTGCAGAAACCTTCACTTTTCATAATAAGCTAGTCAGTGAGTGTGCTGAAACTGTGTGTGTTTGCTTGTTTTGTTTTTGCTTAGGGTACATGTGCTCAACAGAGAGAGAGAGAGAGAGAGAGAGAGGAAGAGAAAGAGAGAGAGAAAAAAAATGAGGAAGCATTTTCCCAATGGAGATGACTTGCCACAATCATTTCTCCTATATTCTCCTTTTGGAATTTTGGGCATGTACACACACACACACACACACACACACAGCATGTTTTTCAAGCTGCTGAGCCCAGGACCTGAACTGCACAGCAGCCTTAACTACCATGTCACCAGGTGACTCTGGAACCGGTATTTTTTTTTAAAAAGTAGTATTACAACTTGTTCCTTGTCCTTATAAGTAAATTGCTGATAATTTGGGGTACCTAAAATATCTAGTTAAATCAAGAGTAAGGAACAGCGGAGTTTGAACACAGCGACTTTTTTTCGGTGTTTGAATACAGAGACTGTGCACGGGGAGCCATGTCCCAGAGGGCCGACTGCACCTGCATCCCAGCCCAGCCAGGTGCGTGTATGCACACCCCAAGTCCCCAGAGGACAGAGTAATGGAGGAAAAGGACAGTGGTGTGACCAAGCCCCGCTGGGGATGTGTTCTCTGCCTCTCTGTCTCTGCCATGCGCCTGTGTCCTCTGGCAACAACAGTAAAAACCAGACAGAGGCCGCTCAGCAGTGCCATTCACTGTCTGCTCAAAGGGAAGTCGGGGATGAAGAGCAAGTTCCATGAGCGTGAGCCCCACCTCATTACGGGGAGTCGTCACCAGTCTCAGCAGAAGCGATGGCAGCATGGGAAACCCACCCCAGGGTCCTGCAGGTGGCCACGGGACTACTCAGAGGGGGCCCAGCGCCCCGCGTAGGAGAGACGAACACCCCACTCTCGACCAGACCAGAGACGCTGTGCTGCGCTGCGGCTTGCACTGCTCATAGTCAGGGCGGAGGACAGATTTCAGAACATCCTAAAACACTGAGGCCATTTCACCCAAGACAGGGAAACTTCAGGAAGTACAAACCATGAGTTAAGACAAAGGAAAATAAAAAACCAAAAACCTCAAGGATCTCTACCCTCAAAAACGGCTCTATCAGAACCTGCCTGGACCCTGCGGCTGCACGTGGCAACGGGGCCCAGTAAGGAAACTCTGGGAAGGAGTGCTCTCAGCAGGGCAGACTCGCGTGGCATGAGGGCCATCTCTGCTGATCGCGTGTCCTGTGTAGGGACAGGAGGGCATGGTGTCAACCCACAAGAGACAACTTGTGCTGGCGAGCTTGCCTCCAGTTGTCAGAGCATAACAAAAGTGAAAGGCAAAACCAAAGGTTCGATAATGAGTCAGTCTCTCACAGGCAAAGAAACCGTTCCTAAATCTACCCTGCACCGCCATTCCTATACGAAAATCGGAAAGGAGCATCTGCGATTAAAAGGAGAAAACCAAAAATGCCTACTCATCAGTTCTCACACCAACAGGAATGAATGCTATCCAAGTCTTTTTATTGATAGAAGCAATAAGAGATCCCTTAAAAAGCATTTCACTTTTTATTTTCTTTTTCTGACTGATTTTTGGCATGCGTTTTGGAAAAGCCATGGTTTTAGATGGCGGCCACAAAGATTCAAATGTGAAAGGGTCCTGAACCGTGGACCATGGTGTCGGTACCTGGTGCTCCCTGGCCTCATCTGGCCCAGCACAGAACCTCTCTCCCATCTCAGCTCCTGCAGACGCCCCCCCTTAACTCTGCTCTCCCCCAGTGCCAGCTAATGACCCCTGCGACATTTCTGTCCCCTCTGTGTAGACTCCTCGACCGCAGTTATCACCTGGCCCCTCCTATCAGAATGGCAGCTCGCTGTGATGAGAGTCTATGTGTTCCTTATTCTGTGTATGAAATACTTCCTCCATGTACGAAATACTTCTTAAAATCATTACAAATACCCTAGAGTTTGAAAAGGGCTTTCAAATAGTCCTGGAGAGAGAGAGAGAGAGGAAGAGAAACAGAGAAGAAAGAAGCTAAAGGCTAGTAACCAACGCAGATCTGTTCAACTGCTGTAACACTTCTAGAGGCTTGAAAGTTTTCAAAGGAGAAAGCTAGGAGAAAAAAAAAAAAAAGGCACTGCTACCCCTTCCTAACTGCTAATAGAAATAATGAGTTTGTTGAGAAAGACAGGACACATTTTTGCATGGAAAAATACGCCTTGATTTTCCCAACAACCTAATAATAATGAACTGCAGATTGCTCCAAGCACACCATTACCCCGGCATCAACACCCCAGGGAGTATGAGGCTAGCATTCTTGTTTTTTAATAAATATTGTGAGGGGCTTAGTGAACAGAAAGAACAGTGTTCCCTCCAGAAAGATATTAAATCCTAATCCCTAGTACCTATAAATGTGACCTTATTAGGAAACAACATACGTACGCACATATACAATGTATATGTAAATACACACACACACACACACACACACACACAGAGAGAGAGAGAGAGAGAGAGAGAGAAAAGACATTCCCCAACAGGGCATGGTCATTCCACAATCCCTTTTGCTCCTCTTCTCCTTCTCATCAGGACCTTGGGCATGCACGACCACTCACTTGACATGTTTTGCGAGCCTCCAGGGCCAGGATTCAGGCCACTGTCAGCCATGTGGATTCTGGTTCTCAATGAGCAGCACTTAACCACTGTTCGGTGGGGCTGGCCTAGCCCTCTACAAATTTTACACAATCATATGTGTGACAACAGAGTTTAGGTGACTCATTTGATGTGACATGTCCTCCCAATCTTACGTGGAGGGACAGGGAAACTGAAAATAATGATTAAAATACATTTTTATTACACATTTGGAATTTTCTTGACATGAATTGCTCATGTTATCTCTGCATATTTTGAAGTTTGAATACACATAAAATGATCAGTGAGACTGCAACACTTACTTGTTCGTGCCCGCCCAAATATGGGTCGTCTTCTGCCATTCTGGAGCTGTGTATTAAAACAAAACAAAACAAAACTGAAACACTGGAGTTATCTCAAACATTCTATCACCACAGAATTCGGAATTCACGCAGGGGTAAACTGCATCATTCCAATGAGATACAAATATTGTCATTTTAAAAAATTCATTGACATATTTTTAATTTGACCAGAGAGAGACATACACAGAGAGAGAGAAGGTAAGAAAGCAAGCCACCAGGTCCAGGACTCGAACCCTGGTCGACCATGTGGGAGCGTCCAGCGCCTTAACCACCATGCCACCTGCTGATCCCACAAATATCATCTTTTTAAGGACTGCAGAAGGGCGCCGTGGCATAGTTCCCCTCTGCTACCTAAATCTGACAGCAGGGTGACTGCACGGCCAAGCGATTACCACATGTGCAGTCGGAGCCTTCTGGGAGTCAGCCTCTACATAAAAACGTGGATGTAGATTCTGAGAGACCCTTTCTTTCCATTATCCTCTAAACGCCAAGGGTTTCCAGGCTTTGCTCTTTAGGAACTTTACTTTCCAGCTCTTCATGAACCCCAGGAGGGTCCTGGAGCTGTCCTGGTTTTTGACAAGCCACTCTGGTTGAGCAGCTGCAGGGGATCGTGCCCTGTCCTCTGCTGAGTCTCACTGAAGCAGCCCATTTTCCTGCCATTGTCAAAGTGGTGTAGGAACTATGTCACTGGACATGCAATTTAAAAATACAGAAATTAGAGTCAGGGCTTATTACGAAGGCCACAGGTCCCAGATTTAATCAGCTCCAGCCAGCTACTGACACAGCAGGCCCTGACAATCTTCTGTCACCTAGAGGCCCTGATAAAAGTGAAGAAAGGCCACATGGTCAGATAAAAGATAAATCACACATCGTCTGGGATTTGTTTGCTTAAGCAATATCCTTATTCTTTTGAGCATTGGTTAGTTTTTAAAATTTCTATCAAATTTTAGCATCGCGACATTAAAACAAGAAAATTAAAAAGGGGAGGGGGCCCGGCCACTGCAGTACAGTAACAGCTCAAGTGGCCGCCGGCTGGAAGCTACACGGCTGCCTGCGGTTTGGATGGCCAGGTGGGCCTGGTCACGTGCTAGCCATGTGCGTGAGCACCTGAATCTGAGGACCTGGGGACCCGGGGTCACACCGTGAGGAGCCTCTGTTGAGAATGCTTGTCTCTCTCAGCTACTCACAAGTGCGTACACTGTCTATCATGCAAAAAAAAAAAAAAAAGAATCAAGACAGAAATTAATTCTTGAGGCAAGGTTTCTCTTTTTTCATGAAGTCTATAAAACACCCAGGGGCACTGGAGACTGCCCTGAAAATGTCAGCTGTCCATCAGGACTTGGTCTCGCCTTCTCACAGAAACAGGGTCTACGCCAGGAACGTGACTTTATCTGGAGGACAGCCCACACTTCTGGGAGTTCCACGTGGCCATTGGGCCGATCACTCGCCGATGGCACGTCACAATGGTTGGGTGCCACTTCCAGGTCCAGGCTTAAGGCCTCGACATGTTCGCCCCATGTTTTGTTTTTCCCTTTGCCACTGGATAAAACCCAGCTGTGGAGAAGCCCTGCCTCCTCCCACCAAGCGGCTGAGCAGCCCAGGGAATGCAGACCCGTAGGGAAGGGGCAAAGGTCTCTCTAACCCACAGATGCTCATGTCTCTGCTAAGCCAGGTGGGCCTCACCCCAGTGACGTCACCTGACACTCAGCAAGCATAAGTGCCTGCAAAGAGGAACCTGCCTCCCACTGAAACTCCCACCTGCTAGAGCCCCTGGTGAGTGACCGGGTAACACCACGAGGGAAACTCCACTCCCGAACGCGTATTGGTGCTCTAATAAAAGTTTCAGGTCTGGGGGCTTTTCAGATTTGGGATTTTCAGATTAGGGATGCCAAACCTACACATGAGGGGGTCTTCAACCCTTCAGGGAAAATGAGTATTATGAAAAATTATCCATAGATGTCAAAATTTTTTGCCTTAAAATAAACTCATACTTTTGGGACCAGCAGATGGCATAATAGTTATGTTGCTGGACTTGCATGTAGTTGACGACAGTTTGAGTCCTGGACCCGGCAGCTTAAAACTCACACCAAGCACATAAGCGTGTGTGCCCAAAATCCCAAGAGGAGAATGGAGGAGAAGGGATTGTGGCGTGGCCCTCCCCCATGAGAAGTGATTTCTCACTTTCTTTCTCCGTGTCTCTCTCTCCCCCTCTGGTGAGCACATGGGCCCTATTAAAAAAAATCTCTCTAACAAAACAAAAATCAAAAAAAGCTCATACTTTTAATTCCATTTTGCCATGAACTTTTTGAAGTTCCTTGATATCTACCTTAAATAATTTTTATATGAACTTATACATGTATATCTACATTATATAATCATTAGCATAGTTTTAGTTATATGCTACTCATCAAATATGTGACACTGAAATACAGTCCTAATCATGTCAGTAAGACAATCCATATGAAAATCTGTATCCTTAGAATGTCATGGGAGCTCAAACTTCCAAGGAAAATATTAAAACTCTTTTGTTTTTTTTTTGTTAAGCTTTCCATTAATTGGAGCTGTTCTTCTGAATCTCCTTAAACCATCTTAGCTTCTGGTTTTCAAAGGCGGAGGTGAGACTGTTGACTTGTGAAAGTGGCAGGACCCATTCAGACCCCCGTCACCCTGACATATATTCCAACCTGTGGACGGTGCCTCAGGCCTTTACATGTGAGGGCTTGACAAAGAGCAGCCCTCACCCGCATGCTAAAAACTGAACTTGCACTTGATTAGGGCTGATGCAGGGTTATCAGCACGCTCACTATGGAGCTGAACCCTTAATGAAAATCTCTAAGTTACGGGCACAGATAAGCCAGATTAGACAGTCTTCTGTCCAATGTTCTGCCTGTGATTCATGCGCCAATGTGTGCTAAAAGACCACCGTTCTAAAAACCCAACAGCAGCCGGAGTGACACCTGGACAATGGCTAAGTCTGGCCACTATGGCCTTGGCAAGCCAGTCACACTCACTGTGAAGAGCTGAGGTCACGGTGACTCCAGGGTGATGTCAGCGTGAGTTCATAACTTTAAATAAAGTGTTTAAAGAAACCAAGACTCATTTGGAAAGGATGAATCATAGAGTAATATTTGCATTCTCTGTAAAAGCAGGTTTTATTTCTATGATGTTGAAATATCAGCTAAGCCTGTGGAACCGAAGGACTAGGACAGACCAGGGAAAACCCCAGCCGCCCCCTTCCCTTTTCCTTCGCTCAGTTCTGTGCTTTTGAGGAAGGACCCTGAAACAGAAAGGGAGAAACCGAGTGGACCGGGGAGACCATGGAGCCGATTGCTCCCAACTCTCTCCGCCATGGCGAAGTGTTTAGGAAAACTGAGAAACAGGAAGTGCAGCTAGCCAGCCACAAGTAAAATATCCAGTCACCGTTTGTGTTTTCCGCAAGAAAACGACTGGCTTAGGTCTCCATGTGACTGAGCTCCATGGCCGGCTAGTGGTGCCTTTCTGCACACCTGGGGCAATACCCCACAGAGCCCAAAGCCCAGCACCAGGCTTCTCGGTGGAGGTAGCGAGACGGCTGGATGAACGTCAAAGCACAGCATTAAACCATTAAGGATGGACTTGAGGGTGCTCCCGTCCTCGTAACTGGGGAGCACAGATACTTACTTTTGGACCATTGTCCAGTGTAAGAAAATACACCCCTCCTATTTTTCAGATTTTTTAAAACAAAAACAAACAAAACACTTTCTCTGAACCCATTATTTCATGACCCAATAAAGATCACATCTTGTGCTTGCCAAGAGTTTAGATGTGTGAGCTTGTCAGAGAGAAAAAGCAGAGAGAGAGAGAGAGAGAGATACCAACCTCCCAATGGGGTGTGGTCATGTCACAATCCTTTTCCCTCCACTTCCTCATCCCTTCAAAATTCTGGGTGGACCAGATAGCATTATAGTTATGTCACTGGACTCCCAAGTAGTCAAGCATGGTTTGAGTCCCAGACGTGGTAGCTTGAAACTCATGCCAGGAGCATGTGTGTGCGTGCCCAAAATCCCAAGAAGAGAATAGAGGAGAAGGGATTGTGGCGTGGCCATCTCCCCTGGAGAGGTAATTTTTTAACTTTCTGTCTCTGTCTCTCTAGTGAGCACACACACCCTATGGCAAACATCTCTTAAAAACAAACAAACAAAAAATTCTGGGTACTCTTATACACTCTCTTGGCATATTTTTCAAGCCGTGAAGGCCAGGACTTGAACTGCAGCTGGTCATGGGTTCCAGCTCTCTCTGCACAGAGCTTTACCACTGAGCTACAGGGCTGGTCCCATATTTAGATTTACATAAACTCGTTTTTCGTGCTTTTACATGCCTTTTACGTCCATATCCACACTGTTTCGTCTGAGTGTCACGTGACCAACGACCATGTGGAAGAGCTACCCAGGAAAGACAGAAACAGCCTGCTCAGAGCTGGCACGGAGGAGTCCCTGTCCACAGTGGGACACCAGTCTGACAGGGTGGGGTGGCAGATCCACAGACAGCATGCAGCTAGTTAATTCACACGCTGTCACAGCACAGTGACACATGGCACATGGGAGCCATTTATTAAACAGCGTAACAAACAATATATTATGATAAATTACAGGGAGAGTACTAGACCCAGAAAAGTTTGGGGTGTTCTGAGAAGAATGAAGTGTTTTGTTTTTCATCCAGCATTTATAGGAGCACTGTCACAGTCCCTCCCTAAATGGTTCCGTTCACTGCTGGGTGAAATGTTTGCGTCTGGGCCCCAGGGACGATGGCCCAGCCTGGAGGCATTTCTGTCTGTGTTCCTGACCGTGGGTGGTGGTCCTACTGGATCTAGTGTGCACAGTCTCCCCGCTGCTGACCACCCTGTGCTGTGCAGGGCAGGCTCTCGGTAACCCTCAACGGCGAGAAAGCTGAGGACCAGACCTGGAGAGGCCAGGGCGTCCTGACAGTTCCCTCACGTGGAGACGGACAGAAGCTTTATGAACTGTCTCT